TAGTGACTGTCCCCTACTGGGCCGAATGCTCATTGCTCATGGTTGGTGCTGAAACATTATTCGTCATTCAAATGCGCTCATTTCCCCGAGTACATTACTTTTTTTTGTTTGTGCTATTTTTGACGTTTACACTTACAAAGTCCAGCTCTTTCTAGAACTTCCCTGTGTCGTTTTTTTTTTAGGAAGATCAGCCCTGTGCTAACACCTGCTGCCAATCCTCCTCTTTTTGCTGAGGAAGACTGGCCCTGAGCTAACATCCATGCCCGGCTTCCTCCACTTTATATGTGGGACGCCTGCCACAGCACGGCGTGCCAAGCAGTGCCATGTCCGCACCAGGATCCGACCTGGCGAACACGGGTCGCTGAAATGGAACGTGTGCACTTAACCGCTGCGCCACCGGGCCGGCCCCTAGAACTTTCCTATTTTAACTTAAAATGAGCTTTATCTTCAGTAATAAGTCATGGACATTCGAAATTAGGAATTTTGCCACAAACGGGAAATCCAGCCAAAGCCCATTTACAACCACCTTGCGGCGAGCGGGGGCGGGCCCACGCCACACCGGCCTCCACCAGCCGACCCCCGCCGCGCCGAGGCCTAAGCGAGGCCTCCCTCCGCGTCACGGCGCCGGCAGGGCCCGAAGCCCCGCGGTGGCCTCACCTAGCCGGAGGGGCCATGCGGGAGGTGCGGCTTCGGCTTCCACGCGGCATCGCAACCGGGCGTCGGTTCTGCGTCTACGAGTGCGAGGCTCGGAGGACACCACCGCAGCAGCTGCGGAGCAGGAGAACGGAAGACGGGAGACGGGACTGGCCTCAGCGCGGACCAATCAGCGCACAGGCAGGGGCCTTCCGCTCGCCAACGGGTCCGCCGGCCCTGAAGGTCACGGGACGAGCAGGACGTCACAGCGGCGCCTGGCCGTGTGCGGTCGGCGTCATGAGCTCGGCGCCAGGCCGATTTAGAAAACCGGAACTTTCTGAGGTTGTTCCGCAAACCGTGTCCTTCGAGCCTAGAGCGAGTCGCTTCCTAGGGCTCAAGGACATCGCTGCTTCTTTCAAACTGTTGTAATAACAGGGTAGGTTAAATCCAACCTTGAGAGTGACTCAGATTTCTCGCGTGACTGCTACAGGACCTTGGGCAAGTTACTCAACTTTCCTCAGCATTAAGCTGCTTACTTGGGTAAATGTTTTAGGAGGCCGGGATCAACAGAGCTGAGTCGGTTCTATTTTGCGTTTCTCGTCTGTGGACCCAGTCCCCAGATTAAATTTAGACAGTAACAATGCCTTACATTTATGTTATTACCATACATTTTCCACCCCTTTTCATATATATTACAGAATTTATGCCCATAATTGGGATAGTATTCATTCACTGATAATTAAAATGTTCTGCATAATTTACAAGTGTTAACTAGATCCTGGAGATAACAGCACCAAATAAAACTACCTTCGTGGAGTTTCATTCGGGGCGGGGGGAGACACAAATACTTAAATCAGGTGGTGACTACATGAAGCAAAAGCAGGGTAAGGGAGCTAGGGAGTTAGAGGTGGGAGAGGGCAGCCTTTGAACGGAGTCCTTCAGGAAGTGGGGAAGCAAACCACGTGTTTGTCAGCGGGGAGAGCACTCCGGGCAAGAGGGAACAGTCATTGCAAAGGCCCCATGGGTCTGTGCTTCAGTGCTCCTTGCTGTGAAATGCTTTTAACAGTAACGTTTTGGCGCCTCTGCAATAGGGGAAAAGTTGACTAGTGGCATTTCATGGGGGGCTTCATGGGAAAGTCCTTGGGGGTGGGGTGGGATTTATGGAGGAAAGAGAGCAGAGGTGGAACCTTCATTTCTGCTTGGATGTCAATCAGAAATTTCTCCCTCACCAAAGGTAGCAGAGTTGTACACAGCCTTTCCAGCAACAGCAGAATGTTTGTGGCACCGAGGGGTAAACGATGCAAAAACCTTTTGTGAAAAACAAAGTTTTATTTTCACAGAACTTTTTAAATGAAACCTTTAAAAATGGTAAGCGTTTTTACTTGCCTTTGGATAATTCATAAGCAGAGATGGAGAAAAGGAAACTTATAAAGGACATCCTGGCACAAGGAGAGCTTAGAATGAGCAAAACATTGGACAATCAAGACAGACCAGAACAGGGATAATTTTAATTGTACTTGGCTAATTCATTAATTCCTAGATTGAAGAGAGAATACTGAATGTTTGTACAAGGTTATTTAGTGATAGTAAAAGATTACCAACAACTTAAATTCCTGTCAGTAGAATACTGGTAAAAATAAAAAAAAAAATTATGGCACATTCACACAATATGCAGCTATATAAAAAGAATAAGGAGCTTCTCTATATTGATATGAAATGATTTCCAAGATAAAAAACTTCTTATTCCATAGTGATTTTGGTCATTCTCAACAAATTCACTTATGGTGATCAAAATTTGAACAAAGAACTCTTGCAGATATGTGGCTGAATGGACTCTTGATGACTGCAATAAAAATTCTACTTAAATTAGGTGGTAGATATCAGAGGTTTTAAAATTGTGCAAACCCTGTTCCAAAAATTCCATGTCTAGTAATTTAAGAAACAGTCATGAATGTAGAAAGAAATTGGCTATAAGGATGTTCATTTAACAAAATGTATAAAATAGGCAAAACCTGTAACTAAGTGTTCTACAATATAGAATTAAATAAGTTATAATACATACAAATGAAGAAATATACTGTCCGGCCATTTAAAATGTTATGAAAGAATACCTGACATGAAAAATATTTTCAGAATATATTAAGTGAAAGAGCAGGTTACAAAATAGTATACATAGGATGTTTCTATTTTGAAAAAGTTCATATATATTTTAAAGACTGGAATTATATACACCCAAATAGTGATGTTATCCCTTGGATAGTGATCTCTTTCTTCCCTTTTTTTTTGCTTGTTCATAAGTTTCCAATTTGTCTATAATGAACACACTTATAATAATTAAACATACCATGGTGGTGTAAAACAGATCCCTTCAAAAGGTGGAGCCTCATTCCTCTCCAACCTCATGAGACCCTGAGCTAGAACCATCCAGTTAAGTCACTCCAAAATTCTTCACCCACTGAAAGAGATAATTGTTTTAAGCCACTAGATTTTGGAGTACTTTGTCACATAGCAATAGGTAACCAATACACATAATTTCTACGGTGACCATAATTAAATTTAAAAAGTTCTAGTATCTAAAATGAGCAAAACCTAGTTAGAAGACCTTATAGAATGTTGCTTTAACATGGCTCATGCCTGTCTGGGTATGCTGTAGTTTAACAGCAGGAATTGTGTAGGAACTGAGATGTTTTAAGACATTAAGGTCCTTAGACTAAATGTAGCTCTTCTTTGGATAACTAAGACATATGAATATAGTGCTTTGCACATATCAGACAAAATAGAATTAAAAAATGAATGAATTTAACTGTTGATTTAAAAGTACAAAATACTATATAAACAAGTGGTTTTTGTATTAAGTTCTAAAGGATTTCAAAGGAATGGACATTAAATGTGGATGAAGGCTTGAGAGAGAGAGTGGCACTTAAGTGCAGGTGGAATTAGTTTCAGAAAGATTAAAGTTGGAAAGGGGAAAAGGGCATGCTCAGTAGGACATCACAGATTCAAATGAAGAAGTAGAATTGAATATGGTGAATTTAGAGTACAGAAGACCTGTGTCAAGAACCAGAGTGTGTTTTTGGAAGTTGTGGGAAAGAAATTTAAGAAAATTCCATAGATGATTTCCAGCACAATATAAGGAAACTAGGCTTTTTATCCTCCAAGGTTAGAGGAGTCATTGAGGGTTTTTATATGATTAAAATGGTCTTCAGGAATATTAATCTAGACGTGGTGTCTGAGACATAGCAGAGGGAGACTAGGGGTAAGGAAAAAAATCCTGAAGGCTAAAAAAGTGGCAAAGGGAACATTATTACAAATTATTTGAGTACCTATTATATACCAGGCACTAAGAGTATTACATGCATTATTTCATTTACACCTCACAAGAACTCTTGAAATAGGTACTGTCTTATCCCCATTTTGTGGGTAAGGAAACAGATGCTTAGAGTTTAAGCAACTTGCCCAAGTCCATACAGGTGTTTGACACCAAAGCCAGGACTCCTACTGTACCATGCTGCCTGGACATTGGTGACATTTTAAAAGAATTAATGTAGTGAAAGAATTTAAGACTTCCAGACTAGAGAGGAAGGAGAGGGGATTGTGTTGTGTAAATTTAAAAATTGTTACCATTTATTGAGCACCTATTGTGTGCCAGGCCCTTAAGTGTGTCAGATGTTTTATATAAATTTTATCTCTAACCCACCGTTTGGCATGGTAATCCAATGTCATTCCCATTTTACAAATGAGAAACCTTAAGCTTGTGGGAACTTGAAACTCAGAAGTTTGCTGAATGCCAGAGCGATGAACAGTCATAGCTAGGATTAATATTCAGGTTGCTCCTCCCAGCACACCACTGCTCTCTCCTAACCAAGGACTCACTGCTGGGCAGAGGCCAGACAATGCACACTGAAGAGAAAGGGAAGCTACCTTCCCGTATTCTGCATAATGTTTAAACTGTAACTCAACTCTTGTCTTTGGAATGTGGAGTTTGTGTGTGGTTCTGAACCACAGAATGTCGTCTACAGTTGAGAAAAACTATGATGCTGGAAAGAGTGAATGCTTTTGCTATCTGTTATGCCTGGTCGTCTTTCTAACTAGCTGTTACGACCTCTGGAAAGTTACCTGAACTCTGGGATAACTTTGGGTCAGTAGTGCAGAGACTAGCAACTGTTCTAGTATTCACAGCTACAATTTAAAATATCCCTACTTTGGCAAATATTAAACCTGCCCAGTAGTGTGACATTTGTGTTGAAATCTTGTACAAATTCCTTTCTTGCTCTTCCCCTATTCATCTTTGTGCCCTCTTCTTTACACGTAAGAATTCAAGTATTTGTGGATTTTAAAAGTTACCATAGCAAGTGAAAAAAAAAAAGTTAAAATGCCATTCTTGCTGCTCTCTTTTAATTAAAAACCCTAAAAAGGCATACCCACTTGGATGTTACTTAATAATCACTAAGGAGAAGATACTGAAGCAGTAAACTTAAGCGATGTCAAAAAGAAGTTCTGTTGACCAACATCGATTCTCTCCCCTTTAGGACCAGTTACCGCTGGAGGTAGAGAAAATACTTTTATCAGGTCCTTCGGGTATCCTGTAGAAAATCAGACAAAAACAAAAATTTCTTTAATCCCTGCATAAATACAGGAAGTAAATCCTTCACTTTTTTTGTTGTTGTTAAGGAAGATTAGCCCTGAGCTAAAATCCGCTCCCAATCCTCCTCTTTTTGCTGAGGAAGACTGGCCCTGAGCTACTATCTCTGCCCATCTTCCTCCATTTTATATGTGGGACGCCTGCCAGCATGGCTTGAAGAGCAGTGCATAGGTCCGCACCCAGACGGAACCTGGGAACCTCAGTCTTCCAAAGCGGAGCGCAGACCGTAACCACTACGCCACCCCGCGGCCCCAGTTCACATGTATTTTTAAAAAGATGTTTTCTAGCCATTTCTACCCAACTGCAAAATTCCAAAAGGTGGAGTTTTCACTATTCCACTCGCAGCAGGGAGATAAATTGGGGGCTTACGGGGTTCAGCTATAACTCGCTAACGCGGGGCAGACTCAGAACGGGGCGACTCTGCCTGAGTCGAGTCGCAGGGGGCCCGAGGGGAGCGGGGCCGCGGTGGCGCAGGGCGCTCGCGGGGCTTCCCTGGGCCCAGGCCCGTCGCAGCCCGCACGTACCGGCGCTCAGGGGAGGCGAGTGCGCGGCCGTGGCTGCAACTGGCGCTGGCGACGCTTGCGCTGGCCGTTGACGAGCTTCTGCGCGATCTTGCGCTCGTGGCCGCCGGGCACCGGCCGGTTGGTGCGCAGTTCCCGCTCGCGCCGCGTCCGGCCCTTGCTGCGCCCAGCCCCGGAGGCCGGGAAGTCGCGCAGGTAGTAGTAATCCAGGCAGTCGTAGAGCTCCTCCTCGGAGTTTACGGCCGGCCGCGCCTCCGGTGGCGACGGTTGCCCCCTAGCCTGGGCGCTGAGACCCGCTGGGTTCATCACCCCGGGCCGCCGGGCCTTCGGGCCGCCAGCCCGCGCGTGCGCGCGCTTCTGGAGGACCCCGCCCCGGGTTTCGATTGGCTCTGCCGGCGGGGGCGGGACCTACGGTGACGTCACAGAGCCCGGTTGGAGCGCGGCGCGAGGCCTCTGCTCTCCAGTCCCGTGACCCGGGACTTCTTCTGCCGCCCGGGCGTGTGCGCCGCTGGTGCGAGAGGGGCATTTGGGAAAATCCGAGCGAGCACTTTGTTGATATCGGTCAAAAATAGAAAACTACCCAAGTGTCAACAATGAGGGACTGCTTGAAGAAAATGCGGGGATGTGCATTCCTCCGGAGGACTTTTATCAGCAAAAAACATTTTCTTAGGCTGTTTAATGACATGAGAAAGTGCTCAATAATGATGTAAAGTGAAAAATTACCTTCTGAAGAAAATCTCGGTATCCCAGTAACGTATTTTGAAAACATCTGTCTATATAAAAGACTGAAAGGAAATTCATCAAAATGCTAAAAGTATTTCTGGCTGGTAGGGCCAGTTCTTTTTCCTTTTCACAGTCCACGTTTTTGATAAAGAGTATGAATTAATTGTATTAAGCTAGCGATGAAGAAGGAGAAGGCACCCTGCCTGCTGCAAGGCCCGGAACCGCGCGCAATTTCGGATTATCCGCGGGTACCCAAGTCCTCGGGTCAGGAGATGTTAAGCGTGATAACTTCATACGCTGGCAATTTGGGGTGACGGTCGAGAGTCGAGAGTGGCGGCGTGGAGGGGTCGGGGGACGACCAGTGCGAACCAAGCGTCCCGATCGCCAGTCCCGGCTGCGCCCGCCCCGGCTCATGGGGGGAAGCGTGCTCAGGAGAGCAGCGGAGGCAGAGGAAGCGGCCGGGTGAGCTCGCTCAGAGAAGGCCGGCCTGCCCGCTCTCGGAGGGCTGCGGCACCGCGGAGCGGAAGTCATTACGCCCCGCTGCCGCCCGGGCTCTGCGGGGACTCCCAGGTCTAATTACCTAATTACTGCCTCCCTGGAGCTCTCAGGGAGTTATTGCGAAGAAGGCCTTTGTTTTGGTTTGGTGTAAGTAGCGCAGATAATTCTCTTCCCACGGATGTTGCAGCTACTCTCTCGGATATTTTCTTTTTAATAGAGCAAAAATAATTCCCTGCTTTAAAGAAGAAGAAAAAGCCTTCTCAGTGTCCCCCAAAATAATCCATAACCAATCTATAAGTGAAAATTTGGGTGAGTTTATTCTGAGCCAAAATCTGAGGACCACGGCCCAGGGCCTTTCTTCCCAAAGGAAGGGCACCAAAGAAGTGGGGTGTACAGAGTGGTTATATACCCCCAAAGAGGATGTTTCACATATGATTCAAATGTCCGGAGACTGCTCTCGGCACAGTGATTGATGGACACAGCAGGTAGGTCTGCTGTCTCCGTAGACACAGCAGGATGGCAGGTCTGTTGTCTCCAGCTGGGTGGTCACAGGTGAGCACAGCAATCAGTTCCTAGCCTAGGGAGAGATGCTTATCCCTACGGAAATGCCAATGTGGGGGAAAGTTGCACCTTTATCTTAAGGCCGTTTGTAAATGTTTACAGCAGATATACAATGCATGCTCAACGGCTATGTCAGGCCATTTTGGAAAAAACAAAGTCTGGCCAAATTAGGTTTACACCAAATGGCTTCCTCATATACTCCAATATAGTCTATTGCTTGCCATTTCTGTTTGTCGTCAGATATTTGATCTTGCTTAGTTTCTGTGTGTGACCAAGTTGCCACTATGACTTATTTTTTTGGCACTCTGAAGCTGTATCCCTGATGTATACCATGCTCTGAGGGCAATTTTGGTGGTTCCTTAAATGAAAAAGTCACAGGAGAGTGTTTTTAATAAAACACCAAAGGGATTTTCTCTTCCACCCACATGTCGTACCTCTGCTCTTGGGAGAGAGAGAAATGAGTATCTATCCCTATGCCACTCTCCCATACATTCTCTCTTTTTAAAAAATCTGTTTACGGCCCAGCCCTGTGGCACACTCCACTTTTGCAGCCCCAGTTCATAGGGTTTTTGGATCCTAGGCTCGGACCTACACCACTTGTCAGCCATGCCGTGGCAGGGACCCACGTACGAAATAGAGGAAGATTGGCACAGACGTTAGCTCAGGGCTAATCTTCCTCAGCTAAAAAAAAGAAAAAATCTCTTTAGCATTTTTCATTATGAAAATATTCAGACATTCTCAAAAGTGAAAAGAACAGATCAGTGAACTCCCATGTCCCATCCACAGATTCAACAATTATCAAGACCCTGTCACATTTGCTTTATGTATCCCTGTTTGCTCTACTGTAGCATTTTAGATCAAATCACAGATCTTATGTCATTTCATTCCTATATATCTCAAAATACAGCTCTAAAAAGCTAGGCATTTCTTATATAACCACAATGCCATTTTCATATATTAGAAAATCAACTGGTCCTATTATTTTCAAGTACCCATTCCAGAATCAAATTTCTCTGATTGTCTAAAAGACATCCAAATACATTCAACTCAGAATACATACACGATCCACACAAAATCTACAAAATTCGCTCGTATGGCTTTTAAGTCTCATATTCTAGGGCAATCCCCTGCCCTTTTCATTTGCTGACATTGACTTGTTGCAGAAACTGGGTCAGTTGTCCTGTAAAATGTTCCACTTTGTGGATTTGCTTGCTTCCTTATTGTGTCATTTAACTTGTTCCTTTCTTTCATTTTCTGTAATTTAGGTTGGATCTACAGACTTACTTATACTCAGATTCAATTTTGGGGGCAAGAAAACTTTGTAGGAAGTGATGTGTGTTGGCATCATGCCAGGAAACACACAATGGCTCATTGTCCTAATTTTAGTGCTGCTAAGACCAATCATTGCGCTCAGGTGGTGACAGCCTGTCCCAATTGCAAAGTTCCACATTAAACTTTTATCTCATGGTTTCATCTATAGTTCATTGCTTTATTTGCTATTGTGTTCATTTGCTATTATTTAATTAGGGGTTGCAAAATGGTAATTTTCTAACTCCATCATTCCTTCCACATTTATTAGCTAGAATTCTTTCCCTCAGGAACCAAGACTATATGGTTACCCTGAAATACATTTGACAGGAGAGGCAAGACAAATGCTTAATTCTTCCCCTTTAGAGGTGGCTTTTCATGGGTTCAAATGGACTTTATTTTTTTTTTTCTTGAGAATCATTATGAACTCGTGAATTTTTAAAAACAGTGTGTTTCAGTCAATTTTATTCATTTTCATTCTTTTTGAATGCTCGAATTGTTCCATATTTGGCCAGTGGGAGCACCGTGTGATTCCTGAGTTCTTTTGATGTTAACCTAGTTGTCTTGGAGAGTGTTTTCTGGTAAACTAAGATGTCCAGGCTCATCCTGTACATTTGTTGCCCCAGACCTGGGATCAGCCCTTCTTCAAGGAGTCTTTGATCTTTTCAATGTGGCGAATGGATTCAGAGACAACAGTATCAGTGCTAAAAGTATTACATCCCTTGATCTTTACAAGAACCCTGTGAGATATCACTGTCCCAATTTTCCAAATGAGGAAACAGTTTAACAAGTTTCCCAAAGTTATATAACTAATAAAAAGCAGAGCCAGACTAAGACTGAGATCTTCTGACCCCTGGGTAATTATTCCTTCCATTTTACTGTGCCTCTTAGTGTGAACTCATTGCTTTTCAGTTCACAGAGAGATTGCTAAATATCCGTGTCCTCCTAGCTTCTGAGATGATATTTAAAAGCTGGTGCCACCATCTTTCTTGGTCTCCTGCCCAAGGACTCTAAGTAATGCTAATAACGTCATTGGAGTAAGATTTTAAAATGGACTTTGTTTAGTGGTTTGACTCCAGACCCAGGGGACAAACAACTAAACAATCACGCTTCAGGAGCAAACTTCAATTCCTTATATTAGCATAGCTATGAACAGATTGTAAAGCTCAGTCTCATTACTTTCTCACTGAATCATTGCAACTACTTCATGAGGCAGTGGAAAGAGAAATAGAGATTCAGCCAGGTCACATGGCTTGCCTAAGGTCCATGGTGGGTTAACCTCCTGTATCTGCATTTGAGCCTTAGCAGAACTGGCTTCTGTCCCTGAGGTCCCTCAGTTAGAAGTTAAATGACACTCGTTTGCAAACTTGAAGCTGGCTACAACTTACATTCAACACTTCTCTCTCTTCCTCATTTATTCATGCTTTTGCATTATTTGTGTATTTGTCTAGCTCCTCTGTAAGATTAGAAACACCTTTGCCCTCCATCTTCAGCTCACAGTACATGTAAATGTCTGTTAAATAAATAAATATATGGGTATATAAACAACCAAACCATTAAAACCTATTAATGAAAGTGAACAAACTGTAAATAGCTATTTAAGCCACATTCATTCATTCAAAATATATTTATTAAACATGTACCATGTGCCAGATATTGTTTTAGACTTTCAGGATAAAGTTCCCCGCTCTCATGCAGTTTCTATTCTCGTGGGAGGAGGCAGACAATAAAAAAATATACCTCTTGGTGATAAGTGCAATTAAGGAATATGAAACATGGGAATGTCATGAATATGATACTTCAGACAGACAGGTTAGAAGATCTCTTTGAGGAGGTGGCACTTGAGCAAAGGTCAAAATGAAAAGAGCAAAAGTGACATAAGCAAAATGGTGGACTAGGAAGCTCCAAGCCCTTGTTCCCACGTGAAACAAAAAAAACCCCAACACCCTCCCCACCCTGAAACTGGCTAAAGTAACCTTATAGGAGCTCTGGAAAACAGTCAGTGTCTACAGCAACTAGGCAAATACTCCATCAAGAAAAAGTCACATTTGGGGCCAGCCTGGTGGTGCAGCAGTTAAGTGCACACGTTTGGCTTTGGCAGCCCAGGGTTCACCAGTTTGGATCCCAGGTGCGGACATGGCACCACTTGGCAAGCCATGCTGTGGTAGGCGTCCCACATATAAAGTAGAGGAAGATGGGCATGGATGTTAGCTCAGGGCCAGTCTTCCTCAGCAAAAAGAGGAGGATTGGCAGCAGATGTTAGCTCAGGGCTAATCTTCCTCAAAAGAAAAGAAAAAGAAAAAGTCACATTCAAAACAGCAGGAAATTTTCTGTTTTTACTTGCTTTTGCCTCACACCTTCCTTGGCACAGCAATGGTTTTGGTCTGGAGGAGGCAGCAGCCCAGTTCCAAATTCCCTCCCTCAAACCAGAGGAAGCAGAGCAGACCTTATTTGCAACATTCTAACCTGTCTTGGGGCTGAAGGACTGGTATCTATTTTGTCTCACTGGAGGCTCAGGTGGAAAGTTTGTGGGCACCACTCAGGAAAGCTGCAGGGGGACTACAGACCCACAGAGGCCTGGGGGAAGAGATTACAGGTGGAAACATACAATAGACCATGTCAGGCCTGAAAGAGAAGCTGGATGATATTTTGGAAAATTAAGACATTGAAAAGCAGCTGTGTATATGGGGGAATTGATAAAGCTGCTCAAACCCAGGGAAGTCACCTGTTCAGAAAAGACCTGCAAAGACCATCAGCTTTCACCTTAGGTTGATCTCAAGGCTCAGAGTAGACCCAGATAACTAGGGAAGGACTGCTCCAGCATAGAGCTTTATCATTATTTATTATTTGTGTCTTTTTTTCCAGTGGTTACCATGCAGTTTGTATTCAAAATCTTCGAGATAAGATAGTCTGTTTTCTTTTTTTTTATAAAGATTTTATTTTTTTTCTTTTTCTCCCCAAAGCCCCCCAGTACATAGTTGTATATTCTTCGTTGTGGGTCCTTCTAGTTGTGGCATGCGGGACGCTGCCTCAGCATGGCCTGATGAGCAGCGCCATGTCTGCGTCCAGGATTCAAACCAACGAAACATTGGGCCGCCTGCAGCGGAGCACACGAACTTAACCACTCGGCCACAGGGCCAGCCCCAGATCTGTTTTCTGATGGC